TCTCTCTCTACTGCTCTTCTTCTCGTCTCTCTCTCTCTTCTCTCTCTCTCTCTCTCTCTCTCTCCTCTCTTCCTCTCTCTCTCTCTCTCTCTCTCTCTCTCTCTCTCTCTCTCTCTCTCTCTCTCTCTCTCCTCTCTCTCTCTCTCTCTCTCTTCTCTCCTCTCTCTCTCTCTCTCCTCTCTCTATCTCTCTCTCTCTCTCTCCTCTCTCTCTCTCTCTCTCTCTCTCTCTCCTCTCTCTTCTCTCTCTCTCTCTCTCTCTCTCTCTCTCTCTCTCTCTCTCCTCTCTCTCTCTCTCTCTACTCTCTCTCTCTCTCTCTCTCTCTCTCTCTCTCTCTCTCTCTCCTCTCTCTATCTCTCTCTCTCTTCTCTCTCTCTCTCCTCTCTCTCTCTCTCTCTCTCTCTCTCTCTCTCTCCTCTCTCTCTACTCTCTCCCTCTCCCTCCACGTCGACCACTGATGAGCCATATGTAACGGAAATGTTAGACATCCACTAAATGTAGGGAATGTGAAGCACGTGCCGTAGTTCGGCCCAAGTTCTGGCGCTCGCTTGGCAGGGTGATGTGAGGCTCATTCATTTATGCATAAATGTCTCTGGTGCGGCGACTACTGCACGCGGTAGACGATCAGCCGGTCATCAGTTTTTGGCAGCGTGGCAGTGTCTGTGACCATTTGTTCCAAGTTTTCACCGACGTAGGTCGCTTTAAAGGAGCAAAACGTTCCCAAATGATCCTGCGGCTATTCCAGTGTCGTGGCCATTCCAGGATGAGAGGAGGGGGGGGAGGGGAAACTGGTTTTCCTTGCTGCTATGTCATGCTGTCTTACGATGTTCCAGCGGTGCTCGCTACCTTGTTGCGCCGATCCGGATATCAAAGATGAGCTCTGGATCTGGTGGTGTTGTATCCTCAGGCCAGTGGTGATGGTGCTGCCGGAGCTAGAGTTTGCTGACAGCTCCCGCCTCAAGCCGCTGCTGATGGTGACACCGAGCGATGGCGACCAGGACGCCTTGCGCATCTCTCTGCTCGATGAGATCAGAACCTACGTTAGTAGGTGAGATACATACTAACATGTAATGCTTGTTGAGAGCGAAGCAAATGTACGATGTTGGCTTCTAGCCTTCTTAGCACAGACAATAGTGATCGTTTCGACTGCACAGGGATAGATGTGGAATGGCCGCTAGCGTCCGTATGGCGGCGGTGAGACGTGGTGACGCAGCTCGGCTGCCTCCGACCCTTCCGCAGCCTGACCGGCGCCGCCGAACGGAACGAGCTGCCCGTCTGCGTGCTGCGCTCCGTGCTGAGCTTCCTGGGCGGCCCGCCGGCCGGCAAGCGCTCGTCGCGAGGCCCAGCGCTCTGCTCACCGATGCGGGTGTGGCTGACGATGGCACGCATCAGTGAGCAGCGTTTCGACGTCGGCCTGGTAGGCCGCGCGCGCAAGCGCCACCACACGCACGTCGGCCAGACGACGGCGGGCTGGCACGTCAAGCGACGTCCTCGGCGGCGCCACCGCACGGCGCCAGCTGACCCCAGCCGCTGCCTGGTGCACCGGCTCGAGCTGTCGACGCTGCCAGAAGCGCACGAGCACCCGCTCGACCGGTTCATGGCGGCGCGCACTGTGCGCTACTGCTGCCGCAAGCCCTCATACAAAAGCGGGGCTGACTGGGTTGGCTCCATGTGGACCAGCTGCTGGCGCGACGAGGTGGTGTACGAGACACGTATGCGCCAGCGCCGCCTGCTGCGCGGACTGACGCCGCGGCCGCCGCAGGGCCCGGTCGAGCCCGAGCCGGAGTCCGGGCCCGAGACCGAGAAGAAGACCCCATGCGTGCTGGTGCAGCAGGCGGCCGCCGTTGGGAAGACGGTGGCTTCTTGGATGAGGCTGCAGGCGGCGGCGCGCACCAGGCGCCCGCAGGTGACGCGCCGCCGCCTGCCGGCGGGCCACGAGCAGGTGGCGCCTCCAGCTGCGGCCGGCCCCACTTCGGCGCGCAGAGTGGAGCCGGCTGCGCAGGGACCGGAGCAGGAGTCGGAGCCCGAAGCGAGGAAGAAGGAGCGACAGCCGTCTCAGCGGCGGGAACCAGAGCCGGGAGCCAGGAGGAGAGAGCTGCAGCCGCAACATCGGGCACCGGAGCTGGAGCCGGAGCCCGAAACGAGGAAGAAGGAGCGACAGCCGTCTCAGCGGCGGGAACCAGAGCCGGGAGCCAGGAGGAGAGAGCTGCAGCCGCAACATCGGGCACCGGAGCTGGAGCCGGAGCCCGAAAAGAGGAAGAAGGAGCGACAGCCGTCTCAGCGGCGGGAACCAGAGCCGGGAGCCAGGAGGAGAGAGCTGCAGCCGCAACATCGGGCACCGGAGCTGGAGCCGGAGCCCGAAACGAGGAAGAAGGAGCGACAGCCGTCTCAGCGGCGGGAACCAGAGCCGGGAGCCAGGAGGAGAGAGCTGCAGCCGCAACATCGGGCACCAGAGCCGAGGTCCAAGGAGAACGAGCAGCAGCCACAGCCGCGCGGCAACGGCCAGCAGCCGCCGCCTCTCCGGCAGAGGAGCATGTCGCGCCAGGCGGAGCTGCTGGCCAGGCGCAGGGCGCAGCAGCTGGCGCGTCTGGCGCAGCAGGCGACGTCGGCCGGCGGCCGCCAGGTGGCGCGGTATGTGGCGCGCGGCAGCAAGCAGGAGCAGCGACGTACGTCAGCACCGGCCCGCCTGTCGTTCTGGCACCGCCTTTTCGCCCTGCTGGCGCCGAGTGCACCGGAGGGCGAGCTGCAACCGCTGGAGGTGGCTCAGGAGGCCACCGATGCCCGCGTGAAGGCCATACTCCTCTACCAGAAGTACAACCTGCCCATCATGTTCAGGATGATGCGCAGTGACTCTGGTTAGAATCAGTGTGACAGAGTGATGCGCTGAAGATCGTTTCGGGTAAAGCGGGTTTTAGCTGTGCGTGTGTACATACGTGCCGCGAGCGGGTACAGAAGGAGATCGACCCAGTCTGCACTGTGCGTAGATTTAAAAGTATCGCGGCTCTTCGTAATCGGTGTGTTGACTGCGCTTTTAGTGTTCGTATGTCCGTGGTTTCTGTACTTAATTTGATTGTAAGACGCCCTTCCCGCCACCACAGCACCGTACTATGATCAAGACTAGAGGAAGCGTGAGTTTTAAAAAGGACGCGTGGGCCTCCAAGTACGGTGGGCTAGCGGTTCATGCCAACAGATTTAAGACGGGTAGCATAAGATAGGCACAGACGAGGCCATCGTTGGTGGCAATGATACGCGATAGCATGTAGACGGGCACGGGCTGTGCTTGGATGGCCCTTCCAATGACATTTTGTGACGATTAAATATAAAAATGGAATTCCCATTATATGGTGTTTGCAGACATGAATGTTGGGAAGTGATGCATCCGAATGGAACACGCTCTTCCTGCACACGTAGACGAAACATGTCAGGGCAAGGCCACGAGCTAACGAATCAGGGCTACGAACAAAAGCATGTGTAAAAACGTTATCATGACAGCTGCTCGAAGGGTAACGTTTGCCTGTATGATACTCATCAGTATAGAACGTACATGGTGTGTTAAGTTCGTAGCGTCCAAAGTTGCTGATGTAAAAAGTTCGTTTAGGATACAGTTCTCACGGTAAATATTTCTCAGGAACAAGTTCGTAGCGAAGATGTCCGCGTACGCAAGATTGTACCGAAAAGGTTTGTACGCAGTTGTTGGAACGCAATTGTTTGTAGGCAAATGCTCGAATAACAGAACGTACCCAAAAGCTCGTAAGCCGATGTAGAATTGAAGTCCACAAAGTTCGTACGCAAATATTCGTCAGACTAAAGTTTGCTTGGCAGAAGCGCTTACGGCAAAGTTCGTATATCGCTGCACCATGAAAGGATGCGAAGGCCGTGGGTAAATACTACTCAGGGATAAAGTAATTTTGACAAAGTATGTACCCGAAATACTGCATGCGGATGTGAAATGAAAGTTTGAATGCAAATTCCATTCTTGGTGCCGGTCTTGTGATGAATAGCCACTATGTTGGCTACCACGCCCCGTCGGTCGGGTGTGTGTGTGTGTGTGTGTGTGTGTGTGTGTGTGTTTTGTTGTGTGTGGGTGTGTGTGTGTGTGTGTGTGTGTGTTGGGTGTGTGGTGGTGTGGGTGTGGTGTGTGGGTGTGTGTGTGTGTGTGTGTGTGTGTGTGTGTGTGTGTGTGTGTGTGTGTGGTGTTGTGTGTGTGTGTGTGGTGTGGTGTGTGTGTGTGTGTGTGTGTGTGTGGTGGTGTGTGTGGTGTGTGTGTGTTGTGTGTGTTGGGTGTGTGTGGTGTGGGTGTGTGGGGTGTGTGTGGTGTGTGTGGGTGTGTGGGTTGTGTGTGTGTGTGTGTGTGGTGTGGGGTGTGTGGTGTGTGTGTGTGTTGTGTGTGGGGTGGTGTGTGTGGTGTGTGTCGGTGGTTGGTGTGGTGTGTTGTGGTGTTGTTGGTGTGGTGGTGTTGTGGAGGTGTGTGGTGTGACAGGGTGGTGGTGGGGGGGGGGGGGTCGGAGATGCGTCGGACATGGCCATTGCATAGGTCAGGTCAAATATAATGACGATCTCTTGCTCTTCATGTCATGAAACGAAATACCCTCCGGCGGCTTGAAACTGGACCCGAATCGATAGGAGTAGCACAAAATTGTCCTGGAATGGAGTGGACTGAAGGTGAAAAAGCCTACTGTACATCACCCGTCGTGTTTGTTGTGTTCTGTTTGTGTGCAGCGTAGGCGTACGAGCAGGGGCCGTGGGTGCACTCAACCTCTCGAGAATGATGAATATTAAGCCTACGACAATGCAGGAATAAAGTTGACTTCGGGATGATGGCTGATACTTGAATGAAGAGTGTTTCAGGACAAATCAACCAACACGGCATCACATTATGCAACGGTAGCTCGTAAATTTTGGTGGACATTTGGTTTCCGGGCAAAATGTAAAGTATGAATACGAATGAGTAATTGCTAGGTTTGTCCACCGCTCGATTTGAAGATGATACTCTTGGTGAATTTCGAACACAACAAACACCTCTTTCTCTTCTCCTGACAACATCGCTGACACCCCTGCCCATCGCCTTCTGGACGTGCCACTGACGCGAGATGACGGAGAAGGCCGGCTCCCAGGTATACGACTGCTCATAATATAGGTAGGGGAAAACGGGGCAAAATGAGGCACCCTGGTAAAACGGGCACCCCGCGATTTTGGCTGGTAGAGGTGACGCCATCGGAAATCAATGGTTTAAACTAAAGCTTCTCTGACAGGGGACGAAAATGACGTGAACCGGACCTTTCTGTCGGCGGCCGTCGTTGGAGGAGGACGTGAGATTTTGCTTTCCATTTTTTGTTGTTGTTTGTATGGTGATTTGAACGTTGTTTATTCGACGAGTGAAATGAATCGTGAATTCAAAGTTGCTGCGCTTTGATGGTGTATGCATGCAGATTCCTTGTGAGCAATGCTGAATTTTTCGGGCCAGTTTTCGTTGCGTGTCGAATCCTGTTGTGTTGTTGGGGTCCATGGGGCAGAATGGTTGGGGCAAAATGGGCACTCGAGGGGAAAATAGGACACAAAAGGTCCCATTTTCCCACCTGAAATATGACTATCGCAAGAAATGTTTGGCTTAAATAGGCCATGAACACAATGTTTCAATGGTAGTAGCAGGCACGTGAGTGGAGCCCAAAACAAGAGTATTGAGCCTGTTTTAGTCCTATGATTAAGTAGTGGTCGAACTACTGCGTCAAACTGGGAATGTGCGGCCTTACGATTTGTCGTTTATAGGTTATTGAAGGCGCGCATGTGATAGCTCTATATTTATTCTTCTTTTTAGGCCTAATTTATTGTAATTATGTTGTTAAACAAAGCTTATTTGTGAACATAACAATTGTAAGTACCTACCTGTGATGACCTGATTCAGTATCACGCATCTGTCCCTTCTCTTTGATAGCCTCTATAACTTACTTTTTAGTCAGCAAACAAACGACTTCCGACCGACCTGTTGTAAAAAAGTATCTTAAAAAGTAATTTAGGCTATAAAAAAGGTGAAAAGATAATGCATTTTTGGTCATTATCGCATAAAGCTCACAGTACATTTCGTACTTTTCCGTGCATTTAAAGGGTGTATTTCTCTGCGTGCACAGGCACTGGCGTAGGTGTTAACGCATAGTCATTCTGTCTGACAGACCTGGCGTAAAAAATACATTTAAGCTTTCTTTTTTTCTGCTTATGGAAAAGACCAACAAATTGTAGTAAGCTTTAATGTTAATTCATCATGTTGTGCCCAGAAACCTTGCAAACTCTAATGCAGTGGGAAAAAAATCTTACATTCCGTTCAACACACACGATTCAATATTTTGTTTTTAAATTATTAAATAGTTCAACAGTTTCTTGTTCCTGAAACATTAGGACTAACTTATTATATAGTATTACATAGAAGGTGTTCTATCATATCGCACTTAATATTAAACGTAACTAATTTAACACGAGAAATGAAATGCCCTATTACGAACTAGTTATAGGCATACAGTTAGGTATTTCGCTTTGATAATTGTACTTAATTTTTCATAGCAGGTATACGTTTTCCTAGTTTATAAAAAGGAATATAGGTACACTGACGGGTCCAGGGGGGGGGGTTATGTAGGTATTCTGATATGCAATATAGGTACACTGAAGGGGTGGGAAGAGGGGGGGGGGGGCTTAAGGAGCAAATGATCCTCTCAAATCCGTTCAACGTCCACGCTGACGTTCTGTTTTAAAGAGAAACTACTTCGCCAGACGGAGAATGGTTCGAAATTACAACAGAGAAAAACCGATCGGCAATCCTGGAAGCAGGATACGATGGCAAAGGCCATCAAAGCAGTCAAGGTGGGAAAAATGTCCACCAAAGAAGCGGCACGCCGCTTTCTGGTCCCGAAGTCGACTCTCGACAGACGGCTGAAAAAAGCACGGGCAATGTCAATAACAGAGGCCACGGAGAAAGTCCTGGGTCGACACAAACCTGTTTTCACGGAAGCTCAGGAACGAGATTTGGCACAGCACATAATGGAGCCCTAAAACCGGATGTTCGGAATAATGTTGACTGACCTCAAGAAGCTCGCATATGAGTTCGCAGACAGAAACAAAATCACTCACCCATTCAACACTGTGACGAAGATGGCAGGGGAGGCGTGGATACGGTGCTTCCGCAAGAGGAACCCCACGGTCTCACTAAGGACACCTGAGGCCACGAGCGTTGCTCGCGCCGCGGCGTTCAACTCAGTCAATGTCAACGCGTTCTTCGACAACCTTGAGTCGCGGATGGATTCTGCCCAGTTCGGTCCCACACGCATCTTTAACATGGATGAAGCGGAATTCAACACGGTCGCAACAAAACAAGAGAAGGTGCTGGCGAGGAAGGGGTGCAAGCAGGCCGGCCAACTGACATCTGCGGAACGAGGCACGCTGATTACCGGGGTGATGTGTATCAACGCTGCGGGGAGCTAGATACTTCCAGGTGTGATATTCCCAAGAAAGAGGGCCAACCAGCAGTTGGAGAAGGGTTGGCCTGGTGCTGTACCATGAGTTCGGCTGGATGCAGGAGCTGTTCGTGAAATGGCTTGACCATTTCATACAGCACGCGAAGCCCTCGAAACAGAATCCAGTCCTTCTGATACTGGATAGACATGCCAGCCACACCAAGAGCCTCGCAGCCATCCTGCTGTGCAGGGAAGCAGGTGTGGTGATGCTCACCATTCCTCCGCACACCTCGCACCGCCTTCAAATACTGGACCGGAAGTTTATGCCTCCCGTCAGCACCTTCTTCTTCCAAGGTCAGAGAACGTGGCTCCGAAACAACCCTGGTAAAGTCATCACACTGTATGAGATGGGGGAGCTGAT